ACTAACTACTCTCTCTCTACCTGCCCTCTCTCTCTCTACCCAAGTAAAGAGAGGGCAGGTAGAGAGAGAGATTTAATGGGTCGGGCAAAGGAGGAGAAAGGTAATTTAGTCTTTAAAACAATGACTTTTTTGATTGGGTGGGGGGTTAAAAGCAAGAAAAAACAGTAACTAGGTCAAGGGTGCGATACTAAAAGTATTGGGGTCGAATGTCTACAAAGTTCATTTTGGAGGATATCCATAATTTACCCTAAAAATTAACAGCTTTTGCCTCCATACATGTGTTTCTAGAATCTACCGCAACTGGTACATGCACCATACTCCTCAATCAGATTGTTCTACTATAGAAGGAACCTACCTCCAACTCATCATTCCCGAGGACTTCAACAAGAGGCAAGGACTTATTAGGGTCAATAAGACCAATTCACTATAAAATTATTCTTCCACATAACACCAACAAATCAATAGAAGATTGCTCTTCAACTCTCATATTAAGAATGATAAAGAAACCTATACCTTTTAATATGGAATTGTATTGATAACCAAACACTGGACCATTTAAGGTAAGATCCACATTATGGAAAGTCAATCCATGACTGCATAATGCTTTACAACCGTCACATGGCCCTGATATACCTACACCATCCTCTCAAGGAATCCAATAACAATAAAGTTGCCAGTGCAAGATCCAGTACACAAGGTAACCCACAATCACCAATAGCATCATCCAATAGAGCCTGGATTTCAACATGGAATCTCAAAAAGTAGAAGGCATAAAACTACAATCATCAACCACCAATAAACTCTTGAAATGAATCATCTTTTTGAGTTAAAAGATTTCTTTTTGAAAGAAGACTTCCCTCAGAAACAAGAAAGGTCGTCAATTTTCTTACTCTGATGATCTGATCAACTTAAGAAGCCAGTGTGTCACATGCTTTACACCTTAGGATACTGAAGAAGCTTCCTGTGGAAAATGGCCCATCTAATTTCCAAAACATACCTAACTTATGCCAGGAATCCCCAATGAATTAGACATTGCCTTCACTTTTAAAGTGCCGAAGTCTCGATTGCAATAAAAAACCAAACCACACTAGTGACTCTGATTTATTTCAACAAAACAATAATAAGACCCTTTCATCTTTCAGGTTCTTATCCTCATTACGTGGTGACAACACACGCAACTCCCCCAACTCATAGTCCTCAATTAATTCCATTTAGAAGCACAAGAGAGAAGAGTCTTCGCAACAAACCTTCCTTAAAAAGTGGCCAAGGCCTAGCACTTGCCTCCCGTGAACACAACATAATTTGCAAGATGTGGTATAGCACTTGCCTATGCATCCCCACCTCGACAAAGAAAACCTTAAGTGACCCTATACAATTAATTCTCATGACCCTCAATGCATGATGACATGTCATCCTACAACAAGGAAGCAATGCATAGAAAAAAACCTCGACTGAGTGTAGAACACATGGGAACCTTACTAACCACACATTTGTTAACAGTTCCATAGACAAAGAAACCCCACTCTTCACCATCTAAGCAGTTCTGTGGAGGTAACAATAGAATGTACAAGTTGGTTATACGCTCTAATTAACTTTTAATCACCCAAAGGAGCCACACAATGGACCCCTTTATCCTTGACAAGTTCATGGTCCATGGAAAGAGCAATCACTAACAACCTCTACGAAGGGCTATATGAAATAATCTCTCACTCATTATACTAGGCGGACCATGAATCTCATAATTCTTCCAAGGTCTACATACTTATTGACAAATAGTCCTTGTTCCTTCACATGTACCCGGTGCTAGCCAAAGCTTGTCCAATTTCATAGACTCTATTGTAGTCATTAAATTAACTTGGGTTTCTCATAAACAACAACTTGTTTTCATGACATAAATAATCCATCTTTTAAAGGCCCAAACAATGACCCAAGTCGCTAAAAACAATGACACTGACTATTCTCAAAGATGACTCATTATGAGATGGCTTGAAGATCATATCTCAGTTAGAACTTTTAAGCTTTACATGTTCTTTTACGATCTTTTATCGTTCATAAAATTATACAAACACATCATCTACGAAAGTGTTACTCTAATGTGAACATAGTCAAGTATAGCAACTCAATTTTTTGACAAAGTAGAGTGGATGCAGGAAAGCAAAATCATCCCCTGCTTCCACTTTTCGATTGTAAAATGAACTACTCATCGTAAATTTTCTTCTAATGAAGCAAAACAACTTGACTGAATTATCATCAATATACACAATGCTAGAACCACTGCTATTAGTGAACTCGAGCGAGCCTTGTCCATAGACTTGTGTGTACAACTCGAGGTAAATAAAATTTTCAAAAAATCCAAAAAAATTTGAATATGATTTGGATGATTTTGGCATAGATTGGTGAGTGTTTTTCTTGCCATAATCCTTATTTTTATATTTTTCCCTTTTTTTGGATTTTTTTGAAATGAACCCAACTATAAATCAGTTTTTTAAATTTAATTTTACTATACTTTTTAAAGCATATTTGGACCTTGTAAGGTTGTTTTTGGTTTTATTTTAATTTTACCTTCATTTTATTTTTCATAATTTTAAAAAAAAAAAATTCTAGGGCTTTTTGGCCCTGTAAAGAACTCAGCAGAGTAATTCGACTTGGCCAAGGGCAGCTGATCTTCTAAACACTGAGTAGAACCATTGCAGAACCATCATTGAGTGTAAATGCCCTCCCCAACAGAAATTTCAAAGGCGAATCAAACAGATGCTAAATGAGAACCAAATTCTTTCTTAATTCTTGCCCAATACAGGGGAAGCCAATTCCCTTTTAATAATGCTTCAGTACAAAGTTGAGATTAACCAGAGAAATAAATTACAAAATAATACTCAAATGAATCAAATTCTAATAAGAAGTACATGATTTCTTCTTGATTACCTGCCTCTGGAAAAATTCAAGCTTCATCTTTGAGCAGCAGAAGAACCAAATATGCGCATGTAGAATAAATAAAACATTAAGAAAAGATAGCATAAATCAAAGGCAAAATTACCCAAATCTAATAAGGATTATACACCATTTATAATTGTAACTAAGCACAATTATAATCACGAGGTCCTGCTGAAATGATACCAGGAAAGGATACTTGATTTACTTGATAACACAACAATCAAATATAGAGAAAAAGGGAATGATAATGGCGGATGAATATACTTCAAGGTTACAAAAATTCATGAATTTTGTGCGCATTGGAAAAGATTCTCTCATGAATAATAACAAAATGCAAAACCCACTAAGTAAAGATAGCGGTATAGACGAGGAACTACAAAAGCTTTGCCAAGAGGAAATCTCTGGAAAGAAGAAGCCTTTATGAGAGAGAGAGAGAACTTGCCTTTGAGAAGGTGAGGGGGTGAGGAAGGAGAGTTGCAGCCATTTTGGTGGCTGAAGCCACCTCCAGATGCACACCGCCCTTTCCTGAGCATGAAAATATCTCATATACTTGGTTAACTCTTCTACAAAAAAAAAAAAAAAATCTCATATTCTTCGAATTTTACCAGGCCGTCTTTTATTTTTCTTAGGGATTTTATTTTAGATAAGATTAAAATAAGGCCTAAAGCTATATGAATAAAAAGTAAAGCTCCGTCCAGAGATCATCGAAATGTTATAGCTTCACGGTCCAAAAACCTTCAAATCCATTATACGGATCTTGACCATTATATATATAGAAAAAAAAAAAAATAGATTTCTAAGTTTTAAAAATGGATGCAGATAGCATACGGATGCATTCGTAGCTGGAGAAGTAATGTGCATCTTCAAATTTAATCATGGTATATAATTTATTTTATCATAATTTATAATTTTAATATAAAATATTCTTAAGATTATCTTAAAATTGATTTTTATATTTAATTATTAAATTTTAAATTTCAAAAATGCTTAAAATCAAGTAGATCTATAAACATATGAAAATCTTGAAAATGAACGATGTAGATAATATATTGTAAAATGCACTATTTTTTAGACTTAAAATATTTTTATTTTTCATGGTCATACATATCGATGTCAAGATAATCAATCAAAGGGTTTTTCAACATTAAAATGACTTTTTTCGATGCATTTTTGAGGTGCATCCGTAGTTCTACATTACAAGGTTGCATCCTTATATAAATTTTTTCTTTTAAAAATAGTGTATATTGTAACATCTTATCTATCTATTTTTAAATATTTAGGTATTTACAAGATCTATACCTTTTTTGAGCTATAAATTTCATAATAAATAGTGGAAATAGAGTTTTTGAGCCATGATAGAAGTTCACATGCCGGAGATGTTTTTGGGGTAAAATTTTAGATTACTCTTTTTCTTATAGAAATTACATCCCCATATATTTGAGTGCAATTTGTATAAGGTTGCAACTTTAAATAATTCAATTACGGCCACATCTAAGTTTTATCATAAGATGTGATTTTCATGTAAAAAATTCTTAGGATTGTCTAAAAATCTACTTTCAACTCTAATTTTTAAATTTTAAACTTCAAAAATAGTTCAAATCAAGTAGATCTATAAACATATGATAATCTTGAAAATGGACGGTTTAGATAAAAAGTTACAAGTGCACTATTTATGGGAGTCGAAATCTTTTTCTTTTTCATATTCGTACATCTCGATGTCGAGATGATCAATTAGAGGGTTTTTCAATATTAAAACAGCATTTTCCGATAGATTTTTGATGTTCAAACTTAATTCTACGTTTTAAGGTTGCAGCCTCATATAAATTTTTTCCTTTATATTTATACTTAAAATATCCTCAGTTCGGTAGTCCAAGTTTTGTACTATGGTGTTCTTTTCTTGATTAGTGCTCGATTGGGAATGCTAGACTGTATTGATTTTATTTTATTTTTGTTAAAAAGGCAGTTGGTAATATGTACTTCCAAACTTATTGTTGCTTACGAAGAATAGAAAAAGAAAAACAAACAAATCCGATGAACCGGTTTGAAATTTGAAGAACATGTGAACCCGATTTTGACCTATATTTTTTTCGAGTAAGCGTCACAGGACTTTAAGTTCCAGGTTGTTTGGATCACCTAGATAAGGACAGTGAACTATGATTGAGCGATAGTGGTGGTCGAGGTGAGAGAGAGAGCGCTAGGGCTTCAAAATGGAGTTTCATTCGAGTTAAAGATCTGTTAAGAGTTTCAAACCGCTCCTTGATAGTCGGCATAAATTCAAAATGTTATTTTTCATGTCTGGCACAAAGTGTAATTCAGAGACAAATTGAGAGCACCATTTTTCATTTCAATTAACTTTTATCTTTGCCTTCTACTAATCTCCAAATGTGCTATACCCTTAAGTTGATTCATTCAACTCCACAGACAACTCCAAATGGGCTATACCCTTTCGACCACAAATGTGGTTACTTAAGTTGATTCACAAGGGTTTGTTTGATTCACTATGGTATCATTGCATGCCAATAGTAAAGTTGGCTCTTTTTTTTTTTTTTAAATAAAATTGTTTCATGCATGTTGGACTGCATTTCTACAATATGCGGTCCCAATGTATAAAGCATCCAGATGAATGCAAATAGGTGGTCCATCTAAAAACAATTGAAACTAAAGATCCAAATGTTTTCTTCATAAAATCATTAATTTTATTTCTTAAAATTTATTTATTTTTTATATTCATGATCTCCATGTTAGAGATTACATGTCCATAAAATTGGGTCTCAACTCCATCTCAAAAATAGATTTTTAAGTGTCGAATCATTTTTTACATGGACTCATAGAAATCATGTCCTTTTTTATTCTATTTTCGACAAAATTAACTTTTCAAATATTACATGGAAACTAGCATCTACGCTAATGGCAATACTTTTTTGCAATTATAACCATGAACATTGGATTTTCATTACATTTAGTGATAATAGGGCCTTGAAAAATTACATCATCCTCATCCGCATTAAGCTTATGGCTTTTGGCTTCTTTAATCTCTATAATTGAAGTTGTGCATTCCTCGTCCACTCCTTCCATTACCACGACCACTTTGGTGTTTTCCTCTACGAGATTCTTCTTTTTCTTATTTCATTGTAAGTATGGTTTGAAGTGCTTGATCTAATGAGCATGAAGCCTTATTAAATGATCTTTGCTCATGGGCTTCTAGGATCCCGTAAACTCCTGAACTGTCATAGCAGCTAAATTCTTTGATTCTTCAATAGCTATAATAATATGCTCACACTTACAATCAAGTGACCACAATATTTTATCCATCACTGAAGTTCTTCTATTTTTTCTCCAATTTCATCTCAACTGGTTTGCCACAACAAGACTATTGATAAGTATTCTGAAATACTTCAAATTCATTCATGTGTAATGCCTCAAACTAGGCTATAAGAGTTTGAAGGCATGCATTCTTCACCTTATCGACTCCCATGAATGAATTTTGAAGAATCTCAGGCGCTTGCATTGAATTTGTAGCCAAAGCAATTTTCTCAAAGTGGCTTCATCTATTCCTTGGTATAAGAACAAGAGTTTTTCTATCCAACATCCATGACTCCTAGAGTAAACTCCTTGATTTTGATCCAAAGTTGTTTCATCTTGAGTTGTTGGTTCTACATGCTCTTTTTCCGCTGTATCTATTGCATCTTAAGACCCTGAAAATGTGTTCATTTGAATCTACCAATTCTCATTGTTGTCTTTGGTGACAAGGGGTATTTGTGGTCGATCAAGGGAGTTGTTCTTATGCATTGGGCACTGATACTACTTGTTGGAAAGTAGGGAAGAATCAAGCTTTAGCTCAAAGTTCGTGCAAAATGCAAATTAAGCCATATGAACACAACAGGCTCGAATTGCATCCGCCACATTACAAAAATAATATGCATTTATATATATATATATAGACATTTGAGGACCTTCCTATACTTGGACTCCATCAAGATCTTTGTAATGAATTTCTCTCCATCTTTATATGCACTCAAAAGGACTTGGACAATAACCCATGGAATAATTTAAAAGACATATTTCTTGGCATGCATTGCAACAAAAACAAATCAACCTATTCGAAATCCTTAAAGAGTTTGCAGTTGTCATTCCTTTTTACTCTTAGGGTCCATTCTTAAACTAATTTTAAATTAAAACAACCATATTGCCAAAGACCACGTCGCCCCCTCCCCTCTGCCACTCAATTGAACTATAACCGGGCTAAAATGGCCAAAACCACCAAAAATCTCTGAACCTGCTCCTAACTTGGGCATAGTGGCATGCAAAGGAGGCAACAAGCTCTTTGGAGGAGCAGAATCACAAACACATCTCTTTGTAGATGATGCATTGGACAAAGACAGAGGGCCATTCTATAACACACTTGAAGAAACCACTGGGCTGTTTGATGGGGCTATGCTGCTCATTAGATGATTATGAGAAGTTGCATTCGCCGCTTTGGCCTTGTCGTGACCCAAGACTACAATGCTGACCTTCTCTTCTACTTCACAGTTACTCTTTTCTCCACTGATGAAGAACGCGAGGGCTTGATCTATTGAATCTTAAGTCTGTTCTATGCTGTAGTTGTTGTACGATGCGATAGGAGACGAGGTATTGCACGGGTTGTAGTTGTTGTATCAGACTTTGAGAATTATTGCTATAATCTCACACTGCAAAGCCAAAACCATTAAAGAAAAAAGATCAAGAAAAAGAATTGGAGAAAAGAGATCAAGAAAGTGGAGTGACAATGAGAGGACATCCGAAGAAGAGAGACACCAGATAATACCAAAGAGTGTAAGCATAGGATTGATTATGATTCAATAAACAAAGAAAATATACAGAGAGAGAGTAGATCCAACTTGGAAACTGATTTATTAAAAAGGACAACTGATGTATCAGAAGGAATTAATTGTATGTTTAGTTGCATCACCCTCCCTCTATCACCATCTGACCTTTTTGAGGGAAGGTGATTACCCTCATGACCATACATTCAAACATGGTAAGTCATGATATATATCTTTTAAAAGTTGAACAAATGGATGCGTCACCCATTTTCAAGAGTCTTATCTATTTTATTCAGGGTTCACAAACTCGGCTTAGGCGGGACACATGCCCTGCCTGAGCAAGTAAATTGGGCTTATCTATGTTATTCAAGGTTCACAAACAGGCTTGGGACTTGGGCCCTGCCCGACAAGTATATTGGACAATATCAAGTGGACTCGCTGGAGTTGGGTGTGGGTAAGGAAAGCTTAAATGAATATAAAAAAAACAACTGTTAAAAATAAAATAAAATAAAATAAAATAAAACTAAACTAAAAACACTTGCCGGAGTAGTGTATGGGGTAAAAAAAGCTTAAAAGATTTTTTTTTAAAAAAAAAAACTGTTAAAAATAAAATAAAAATAGCAAAGTAAAATTAAACTAAAAACAGCATAAATTTACAATTAAAATAGATTTTTAAAAACTGATTTGTTGCTGAAGACATTTCAAAACTCCAAAAAAACCAGAAAAACATAATAATAACGCATATGACCAAAAAAAAAAAGTCACAACTCATTATTAAAAAA